TGACTGGAAACGGAGATGAAGGAAATCTTAATTCACTTTTATTAAAAGATCTGCGGATTTATTGTGAAAAATAGAATGCAGATGTAAACTGGACCTGATAAAAGAATTAAATGTGTGTTTAACCTCCTTTATTGTTTGTTCAGCGCTACTGGTACTTGACCTCCTTTGTTTTTGAGACTTTTCTCTTTCTTGGTACTTCTATGTTTTGAATTTGACTTAGATTACAAAAACAAACTCTGTTGGTGTTTTTCATCTCAAATACTTCCCAAATCCCTCAGATTTTATAAAATATTTAAAAGATAATCTGCAGACTAAATTCTCATTAAAAACTTTGCCCTTGCTTTACGACAAAAGTTCAAAGAACCTCTAATGGTTTTTATTTGGAAGTGTGAAAGAAAAAAATAATGTGAAGTATTAATTCAGACTCGGCAACCTCACTGTAAAAGGTTTCTTTTTTTTTTTTTTTTTTTTCCAAATTTTAACATGGTGAATGAAAACCCCTTAAATATTTTTTCCTATTTATATTGAATCAGAAGAAAAATGTCCCAAACACTGATGAAAATAAAGTCTTGGAGACTGTTTTTTATTAAAGTCATGTTTATATTGCAGTGAGGTGACTTAGAAGAAGAGACCACATAATCCACTTTGTTAGCTATGTTAATTTTCATTATTGCTATTAAAAAAAGCTGTTTGATGGATTATTTAGAGATACTTATCAAAATGCTAATTTTTTCTTTATCTTTTGTTGTATTTACTTAGAGATATCTCRTGTGTGTAATTTAAACACTAGTTTTCAAATGGAACGTTAGCCTTTGGAATGATATGKTAGGATTATTTTATCTACTTATTTTATCTACTATTTTATCTACTGTTTTATCATCTATTTTATCTACTTCCGTGGAAGTATCAGCTAGGAAGTATTTCAGGAAGTAGCTGTAAAAGGAGTAAATCAAATATTGAAAATTAGTAAGGAAGGAATAGTAAAGAAAATGCYCCTACAGGAATCCTCCATCCCAAACAATGTAGTGTTACTGTTTTCCTCCTTGGACCATTTCTGCTATTTCTAAGGAGGTAAAGYTGATTTGGAAAAAAAAGGACAGGATGACCAGGATACTGAAAAGTGTGGAATGATTTCCAAAGGCRAGCAAGAAAAAGAATTTAGGTCACCTTAGGCTGAGGAAGATGTGAGAAAGGCCTGTAAACCCTGGGAATATAATAAAGAAGGTGATGTGGGAATGACTGTTTGCAGCATTTCCCTAGCARAAGAAATAAGGGCCAGCAAATGCATCTAAGGTTGCAGGTCTSAAGAAAGACCCAAGTCATTAAACCCCAGAGCATCTTGCCTCAGAAATTGCTGAATATTGACCAGTTCCTGGAAGAAAAAATCATTTAGGTTTATTAAATGTCTGGAAAAAATGCATTATTATTGCAGTTGTTATGTGACTGTGGAAATCTCTGTTTTACAGTTTATTTGAGTTCAAGAGACTTTAGATGGAGTAAAAATACAGGCATGCACCATTCTCATAATATTCATTCAGTATTTTCTATTGACCACTGTCGACCTCAGACTATTTGGCTGAATCATAGACTTCTGCAGTGGCTGTTCTCATGTTGTAACAGGTCAAAGTGTGTTGATCTTCTATCTTAAGAAAGGTATTTCTGAATGTCCCTGAATATTAAGCAGATAGGGTCAACAGTAGCAAAATTTTAGGTAAGTATATTTTAATATCCAAAATCATTTGAAAGGAGCACATTGCATGTCCTGCTGAGCATTTCTCCACTATGTGTTTTGCAGGAATAGTGAGAGAAATATGTGCAGTTGTTAYATATTGACGTAGCTTGTTCCATCAGCAGGTAGCATTGGATTTAAGAGGCTGAAACATAAGACAAGTGCTCAGGGTTGGTCTGTAAGATGATGCTATTTGTTGAAAGTCTTGTAGTTAATTGTTCCCAAGATGATCTGTTCCGTATAAGCAGTGCTACTGTGCGAGAAGTCCTATTTTGTGAGATAAAGCGAAATGTTTGCAGCTGATGATTACTGTAGACTATATAATTTTGAAATGTCTTTAATCTGAAGTGAAATAATTCTTCAAAATAGTATTGCAAATCTGAATTTCTTTTGCTGTAATAATTATATTTGAGGTTAGTTTTTTTCCTAGAGATCCTCTTCTCTTTTGAAATTATTTTGGGTTTGTTCTCAATATTCCTGGTTTGCAATGTATGGAAAGTCCACCAACAGGCAACTGTTTTGGAAGACGTAATCATTTTAGAGGGCACAGTGAAATTTGAATGAATATATTTTCTTAAAGTACAAGTACTCCTTTACAGGAGGCCTAATCTCTCTGGGTTCTGTGAGAYGTACTTTTGTTTTTCTCGGTCTGCAAATAAGAAAGGAGGGGAAAAAAAAGGAGGAATTCATGGTTGGTTGTTTTCATATTGAGTTGTCACCATTTTTAAGTGAGAAAAAAAATGGGAGTTTAGTCCTTTAAGTGAAATATGTATATCTCCCCATTTGGATTTTCCTTTTTTGCTATATCACTATAAATGCAATGAATTGGGAAACTCGGATATGTGTGTCTCCACATTCCCACCTCATCCTCTGAACCATGTGTGGGATTTGGGTTTAACCAGTGGAGCAAATAGCATACCTTCTAAAGGAGAAAGAAGTGTTGCCTTTAGTGTATTTGGGAATACTTTTAAAAATAAAGTGAGGCTATTGAAGAGCATCGATACCTTGGTTAATTTTTGCTTCTAATATTTTATAGCACTGCTCAGTGATACCTCTTTCATATATGTCATCACCTCAGTTCCCACATCTGCAGTGAAGTTTATTAGTAAGAGCTCAAATCTCAGGGGAAGAAGGAATCTAAAGAAAACCAGCTCAGAACTATTTCCTCTTTTCTTCATCTAAACATGGAGATTTAATGTAGGAGAGATTATTCTGYGAGCACGAGATGAATCAAAGTTTTYATACRGCAACAAAAAATATTGTCTRCCTTCAGTAGTAGGAATCTAAATACATTTCTTTGCATCTCAAAAACTTCAACCAGTTCCAGAAAAAGAATAAGGAGCTTTAACATATGGTAGACTAAAAGATCCCATCACCTMTGCACTTTCATGAGATTCATGGAAACGTGTTTTGACTGTAATGCCTTTGGACATACGTAGAAATTCCACTTCAAAGAGTGAAAAATAGATTGAATTCACAAGTAATTACGTTTTAATACTTTTTTCGTCTGACTAAAAAGGCATATTGTTTCCCAAACCCTTAAATTGTTTCATCTGCRAAATGGTGATTTAAATTGCTCTTTCAGCATTACATTCACAGGCCTTTCAGCTATTTCTGTTTGAAGGCATAGCGTTTCAAAGTGGTTTATTTAATAAGGCCATTTCTATTCTCTGTCTTGAGAGCGTTTTCTAAAGTCTTGAGACTTAAGCTTATGCGTGGAATATTATTTTAATTCAATGTAGAAATTAGCATTTTAAAGGAAAACAGCAGTTACAGGTTGAGAGTCCAAGACACAGAATGAGCCTCTTCTTTCACCGTGCAGTGACTGCTTGCAGAAAGCCCTCCTAAATGAGAAATAAATGCAGATAACCATCATAATTTAGCAGGAGGCCTTCATGGTTAAAGATCTTTTTAAAAAATAATCAGTGAAGTGGTGAGTGACCGGGGAGAGTAGAGTTCCTTGTGCATTAGAATTGGCCACAGTTCAGTGCTGGAGAAGGGGACGCGGGGGAGGATCTGAACTGGGAGCCCGACTGGCATTTCAGAAAGATGCTTCAGGCATCTGATAACTGGCTAGGCCATGTCATTTTTTTGTTTGCTTGCTTATTTTACTCATTATTAGACCATCATCTTACCCTCTCATGGGTGTGGTTTTTTTTTTAATTATTTAAATTTATTTAATTATTTAATAATTTGTTTCCTGTAAGCATTGTCTGGAACTAGACGTGACGTTAATAGAAAGGATTAGGAATATCCCTAAATTCAGAAAATGATTGTGCTCATCCTCCAAGATGGCATGCCTTGCTGCATAAAGCTCTGGGGATACATGAGGAAAATTGTTAGAGCTTCTGAATGTGGCTTTTTAAAAGAGATTGTTGTCACCCCACCACAATAAAAATAATTTTCTTTCTTAAGCATYAGTCAGCTTCGTTGCAACGTATAGCGACAGAGATTGAGAGCACCTGAATTGAACGATTAATGGCTCCAGTGTGTATTTTTGATGGAAGTTATAGGCCAATGAATGATCTTATTTAAGATTAACTGAAGATCTGATTAGAGGAGGTCACCATAACTGAGCTACTTTTTCTCTCTGGAGTTCATAGGGAAGAAAATACTGTTAATTAGTTTCTGCAAATATCTGTAAAGATCTTTATAATAAATCAGCAAAAAAGATCACTGATCGTATTTATAAGCTGTTCTAGGATAACTCTGTGAATTGAAAAGGAAATATTATTATTTAAGGGGCAGTGAACAAAATGCGCCTTCACTAGCACATTAAAAATAGTGTCCTGCTTACTGTTATATTCCCTCTTTCCTGTTAGAGTTTTTGTCTCTGCTATTTGCTAGAATGAATAACATTTGAGACAAGCTGCTTTCTGAGGTGCTGAGGTTTTTAGTGTCAGTACCAACTCGGTAGAATCCTAGACGGTAACTTAAGTATAAAGTTGCAGTAAGCAAAGCCAAAACTTGTCTAATTCATCTTGGTCACTACAAAAAATGTTCTTTTGATTTTTATATATATATATATATATATATATATATCTTTTAAGTTAAGGTTAAGTTTGTATCCTTTACGCATTGCAGAAATTACTAACGGATAAATCCTGTGTTTACAGTGAAACTATTTCTGACTCATTTTGTTTAGTCTTGATTAAAACCATTCCTTGTCTATGGGAAAATCAGGAAACTTGTAACACAAGAGTGTTCTTGCGCAACTGATATGGCTGTTCTTTTTTTCTTCCTTTTTCTCTCCCCTCTTTCCCCTTTCTAGGGTCAGTATAGGCCATCTGACTTGTTGTGTCCTGAGACGTATGTCTGGACGCCTATTGAACAGTGTCTGCCCCTGCTTGAGCGTTCTAAATATTGTCGTTTAAACCAAGATGTAAAAGCAGGTAAGTGTATAAGTAACAATGGGCCTCTAAGTTGTATGTCTTGTTTTCACAACATATTCCTATCATCTGCTGCTGCAACGTTACGGAAATCTTATCTATTAAAAAAAAGCCTCTAAAATGCAGTGCACCTTCAGCAAACAAAATCCAGAGCGCCTCCAGCAAATACAGTCCTGCTTGCTTAACAAAAAAGAAGCAATAAAGATTGAAATATATTCCATTTCATGGTTTATTCGTAGTTCAGAATTAACATATCATGGTGTCTTCACATGAGTATATATATATTACATATATGCATGAGTAAAGACAATCAAATATTATTCCTCCATTAGATTCTAGGCTGACAAATGCATGAATAAAGTAAGTTAGCATCAGTGTAGCCAAAGGAAATGACTTGAAGCTTAAAAGCATCAAATGTTAAGAAATGAACTGCCAGATTTAGAGTCAGAATGTGTCTGAAGAATATTTGCAGAATATAATTAAAAATCTTAAAAGCACCTTAAACATCTTGAATTAGGTTAGATATAGTTTTTGCCAGCATGGAATGGTCTAAATTACTACTGACCAGAATATAATACAGTGTTAATACTATAAAATGATGTAATCAAATGAAGAAATCACATATGCTTGCTGCAGTTATTACCTCTATGGGCTGATTCCAGGCTCCAAGGAGGTTCTTTCAAGAAGAGAATAGTAGGTTTGGTGCTTGGATCGAAAACAAAAATCTTTTTAACTTCTTATTAATAACAAATTACTCTTTTTCATTCTTTTTTGTTTTTTTCCATCCTGAATAGAAGTTAAGTCAAATTGTGTTATGTAGAGATGTTAGTCATTAAGTTTATGAGTGCATAACACCATGATCTGTTTATAACTGTCAAAAATACAGATTTACTTTCCTGTGAGACTGAGTTTCTTTGAGATCAGCTTTTATTTTTATTCTGAGTTTTGAGATGAGCTTTTTTTTTTTTTTCCAATGGCTTTATTTTAGCATTTTTACGGTTAGATGGTTAGATGACTGTTGGAAGGGTGGGATGTAAATATATGAAAGGAATTGGAAGAGAGATGACAAGTTAAGTGCMATTGTGAACTTCTGGAGACCCTGCTTCAGTTCTGTGGCTTTCCTGCTGAAAGGGTAATATTCTGTGTTCAGATACTGCAATAGTTGGTTAAATACACTTTTAGATATAGATACTGCTTTCTATGTTGTTAGTAGAAGAATTATGATGAGTGTTCTTTAAACATAGTATTCTTTTCTAATCCAGTTGCTAAAGCCAAGAGATAGAGGGGAAAATCAAGTAGGGAACGTACTTGGATGCTCTTTGAAGAGGTTGTTTACCACTCARTTGATAAGTGTATTCAATGGGCAGCACAGATTGATAACTAGAATCATCACTAGCTTGTGGATAGGAGATATATAACTTATCCAAATTATAAAAGAAAGAAGGGAAGTTGTTTTAGCGGCCAGTGCTTTTCAAGATGCAATAAAAAGAAAATAGTGCATTCACTGAAAATAAATAAATAAAACAGAAATCCAAGAAGTATGACAGCTAAAGTACAGCCTTTTGAAGGTGTTAACCCCATAGCAGCCAAAGGGCARCATCTTTTCCGTTCTGTGGAATTCCTGTGGGGTATCAAGCATTTGGAGACTGCAGGACGTAAAACTTTACATCTTTATCAGCGCACAGTCTCACTCTGCAGGCACTGCTACAAGTGTGACTTATGTCCTGTGGTTTAAGGAAATTGCAGCATAGCTCTATGTTGAAATGAATTGGACCTGCTGTAAGCTTATATTCCCTTGAGGTTTAAGTGGTTGCTAGCTGTTAGGAAGCTGTTTCTCAATGTTAAAATCAGTTTCCTTCTTATTTCTTTATACAATACTCAGTTTAATTAAGTTACACTGAATTGGAGAGAGCAATAAAATATAAAGGTCTGCTGTATTCAGAAGAACTAGAATCCTTTTATGAATGAAGGGCGTTTATTAGGATCTTACTGTATTGATCACTATGCGGTAGCCAGTCACCTTCTTACAAATATAGAAGGAGGTAGTGGAGGAGAGTAGTAATTAAAAGAGGATTTGGATAATGATGAATTCAGAAAGCTGCGACAAGGCTTCAACTGCATTTTACTGCAGAAATATGCAGGCAATTAGCCTTCCCTTTGTAAGGATGAGCTATCCCTGACATGAAGTGGTGAGCACGGATAGGGGTATGATTGTTTAAAAGATATAAAAGCAAAAGAATTAATGGCAGTGTTCTGCAGGTAAGGGCTTGCCAGTGACTGCACATGCATGCTGAAGCTTATAAATTCAGTCAAATGATAGCAACTTGCTAAAATACTCTTGGGCATCCTCTGTCTTCCACGCTGCTCAACTTCCTGCTGGAAAAGCTGCTCTTTAGGGCCTCATTTTGGTACCTCCACTAACTCCTGTGGTATCCTGGCAGTACGTTTCTCCAATCACTGTCCATTTCTCAGAGCCCAATTCCCAGGCTTATTTTTCCCAAACATCTGCTGAGCGTTTCTGTTTGTTGCTTGTGAGACAAGCCTGTGAAAAACAGCCTTGTAAAGTCAGGTCTTTATGAAAAATTTGCTTTTGAGGTTGTAATAAAATCAGTGGAAAACTTCAAATCTTTCCTCCTATCAGCACTGCGCTGCCAAAAGCTTTAAGAGGCAATGTCAGATAGGGCAGATAYAGTCCCAGTCCAAACTGGGGGCTTCAAAGCCTTCATATTTTTATAACCTCCTGACTGTGTTTAAATACCCCTATGTGACCATAAGGTGGGATGCAGCAGCCACTTCTTTTAGGGTTTTCCTACCCATGTAAAAAGCTGCACTTTAGTTGTATGTTGGTGTTTATAGAGAACTCTTTGCCAATAAGAACTCCTGGGGAAAGTGATGAATTGGATATGGGGACACACAAAACTATGTCAGAGATGGATRTAATTCTGGTTATTTCGGGTCAAGTTCAACTTTTAGTATGTTAAGTGGAAAGCAAAGGTAGAGTTTAAATTAAATTGAAAAGCCTGGCATGACATTTTGCTCTACTGTGCAAGAATATGCKTGAAGTGCTCTGTAATAAAAAGACAGTATTAATAACATTTTCAATATTCCTGAGTTGAGCAAATGGTGATGAAAAGCCTTTCAAATATGTAATTTATAGAAACATAAGCAAAATTTAATCCATATAAAAAGTAAATCTTAAAAGCTGCTGTAATTTTACATGTTAATGTTGAGCTGGAATGGGCTTGTCTATTTAAATTGTGAAAATGTGAAAGGAGAGTTACAAAGGTGACAGCGTCAGTTGTACACACACATACACATGTATATGTGTATTTTTCCCTTTTAATGTCTATGTATTCCCCTTGAAGATTTGTGCCTTTAAGAAATGGTATAATTAGGGCTGAATCTAGATATCAATGTCATTCAAGTCCAGCTTAAAAAAACCCAAAAACCTTTGTCCAGATTTACATACTTTTTGCTTATCATCCCTATGATGATTTATTTATACTAAATTTCAATATTTCTCACATTTTACTTATTTGGATTTTTTTATTCTTTTCTTACCAGTTCTACTATTTTTGTCATTATAAATTGCTAAATCCTGTATTTTACTGAAGTTCTTTCAGGACTGCCACGTTTGTATTTTTGTGCATTTAATTTAAGGGTGAATCCTAAACACGTGGCAGCGTAGCTTTGAAAATATTTGGGGCAGATTTACACATCAAAAACAGTGCATAAATAGGCCTAGACAGTCAAAGTTATTGTTAGCCATCAGTTCTGAAAAAAAGCGACACAATTCAATTGTAAAGCAAGAAATGTCTTTAAAACATTGTGACTTGAAATACGGCCACAGTATGAATTCCGTTTTGGATTAAGTTCTGGCTCATCTTTGCTAAATATTTCAGCTTTACGACTTTTATATTATTTGATACTCCTTTATTACATCTACCTTTGCCRTACTACACGTAGCAGAGTATTCAGTACACCCCAAGCTCCATCTCCTGACTTTGGGTGGAACTCCTGGAACATTTGCCTTCCACTGAAAATTCCTTGAAAATCAGTTTTATTCCCAAATCACCTTTGCTGTTGCCGGGAGGACACAGCTACGTGTTGGCAGCTCCTGYGCTGAACTTTTCCCAGGCTCTGAGCCTTTGGAACCATCCTGGGTGCCGCAGGATTTGCTCACTCCAGATGACTGCAGTGACATCAGACCTTCTTTCCCTATGGAGCTCTCAGGAACGTAATTGATTCCACGTTTTAATTATTTTTATCCCCTCAATTGGTTGCTATAATGTGATTTATTTAGCTGATAAGCTGCTGCCAATTGCATCGGAGTTGTCTGTTGCATGAAAACACCTGCGGTTGTAGTTCCCAGCTTGACTTTTGTCTACTTGTTTTTCTCATTGTCATATACCGTCTTAATGAGGATTTCCCCCCCTTCTTTTCTAAAGATATTTTACTGCTTTCTGCCATTTCCCTTGCATTCAACTGAAATATTGCTTGAATTAATAACAGTAAACTCTCCAACACCTTCAGAAATATTTCTTTCTCCTTCCCAGTGTTTCGAGCAGTCTCTCTATAAAACGTAATCCTGTAACTTCTATTGTCCTTGATTCCTTTGCAATTTTTCTGTAGTAGATCCCTGGACAGTGAGCTGTTGTTGGAGAAATACCAATATCATTTAAATCTAGCTCTCTGGTGCTCTTTCACCAAGTTAGAATGATTAAATGTATTAAAAGATAGCCCCTCATAAATGTACCTGGAATTTTATGCTTTCTGTTTTATGTGCTCTCTAACACTAAAATTTCTTTCAAATAATTCCAGAACGATGGGCTGTATCGGGAGCTCCTTAGCAATGATAATATAGTCAATATATTTAAGATAATTTATTTGCAGATAAGCAGAAGCCTTTACTTTTTTTTCCTGCTTGCTGTGAATAACAGTTGAAAACTAGAAATCAGTTACAAACTTTTGTATTAGACACGAAATATTTTCCATTGAACAAA